GTCCCTTCTCAGTCTTCTCTTTTCCAAACTAAACAAACCCAATTATTTCAGCCTTCCTTCATAGGTCATGTTCTCAAGACCTTTAATCATTCTTGTTGCTCTTCTCTGAACCCTCAGTTTCTGCATACTTCATGCTGGCCCATCCATGGCAATCCAGAGATCAGAACAGGCTGGAAGAAAGGGCACAGGCATGGCTTGTAGGTTTACGGCTATATAGCCCCACTGGCCAAAACTCCCTGTGGATGGGAAGTGAAGTAGCCATAGCTTTTCAGATGAGAACAAGAGTCCCTTCTCCAGCCCCCAACACTTGCACAAAGCCTGTTGACTGAAGGTTTTGGACAGGGGTCATGGATTTGGCTCTATACAAGGAATGAGAAAGGAAGCAAGGGAGTTCGTCCTAATTAATGAGACTGATTGTAACAGAACATATTGTAATAAATAAGTTGACAAGGATAGCATTAAAATGATCAGCTGTTCCTATTCCTTAGTGTTTCCCAACATTCAAAAAGCATATTTATTAAGTCTTTTTCTTTCTCTACAGCATGGCTGTGGAAATTATGTACGTGTGATACAGACCTTCAATCGCACCCATTTGTACGTCTGTGGGAGTGGAGCATTCAGCCCAGTATGCACATACCTCAATAGAGGGCGCAGGTCTGAGGTAAGTGTTTTCATTCATTGTTCCCATGCTCTCTGTGGTGGATATTTTTAGTGCTGGGCAAATATATTTACCCAAAGAGGATGAGTCTGGAAACTGGGCTTGGAGATCTCATGAGGTTACTTTGTCCAGTCAGGCTACAAATAGCATAAGGACAGCCATTCTCCTGGTTTTCTGACACTTCTGTTTCCAGTCCCAGCTCCTACCAGAGAGCATGGCATGCATAAAAATAGAAAATGGTTTGATAGCATTAGCCTCACTTCAGACTTTGGGTCAGAAAAAGCTCACTTCAGACTTTGGGCTAAGGTCTGGCTAGTTCTCATTTTATCTGAACTGGTTCATTCATTCCTAATTTATCGTCCAAAACTGGGAGAAATCTTTGGAAATAAATAGCAGTAGAAGAAAACTCAATAAGGTCCTTCACTTATTCCCCAGTCCTGCAAGCATTTATCCATGGGAGTAGTGTTGTTAAGTTCAATAGGACTACTCCTGTAGGCCAAGTACTCACAGGTGTCAGTGTTTGCAGGATGAGGACCTACAATCCTGAACGTCCAATCTCTATTTGGGTAGAACTCCCAATGAAGCCTCATTGACAAGAAAAGTTGTGCCTGAATAGATGCTGCAAGGTTGGGTCATCGATTATTAGGGTGAGGGCCTCAGTTGGTGTAAATCTGCTTATTTCCATTGATGGCTCCAATTGAGGTATGCTGATTTAATTCCTAAGAACCACTGAAGCAACTTAGTTTACATATGGTAACAGAGAATTCAACAATTAAAGGGTTAAGTATCACAGTAACTTTCTAAAGTCTTCTTGTGACAAGTCTAATTGTTCTGTAAAGTTTACCACCCATCTACCATTTTAAAAAGATTCCCCTCCACACACCTGTGGGTTTTTTTTTCCCTTCCAGGCAGCACAATTTGTGCTACTAAGTACTACTTGTCCTCCTACATTTTAAATCATAAAACATTTTCTCCTTCCCACATACTGCACTGTCATGGAATAATAGCTAGCCAAGGCGCTTCTTGTAAAGAGCAGCCTCTTAGTACATTACCTGAGTTAGTTTGCCTGCCTTCATTTCATTGTATTGGCTAAACATGTAAAAGCCCAGATGTTTCATAAATGCATTTTCCAGACTTCATGATTTGAAAATGAAATTTTTGTTTCTATACAAATGTAGTAAGCAATAAATGGAGTAGGGAGAAGGAAAAAGGAAAGTTCTTATCTGAGTCCTGGCACTTTGGTAGAGTTTGGGTCAGACTGACTCTTACAGGCACAGGAAGGAGCAGTATGTCTTGCTGCACATGGAGAAACAGCTGTGCTGCAGGGGAAGGGCAGACACTGCTAGTTGAGTTCTGCCAGGGGAAGGCAGCTGTAAATGTCTGCTTCTGCTTCTATAGAAGTCCATGTGGGTTTGACCACTGATTTCAAAGGGAGAGGACTGGGTTCGAAATTCTCAACCCTCAAGTACAGACTATGGAGGGGCTACAAATCAGTGCATCTCCTGGAAGACCTTGCCCCATCCTTCCATGGAATGGTCCCAAGCAATTTGGGGGAGCATTGGCTGGCTCCAGGCCCCCAAGTAGACTGTGCAGACTGAATCACTGTACTTCCACTCCTAGAAGACCGCCTGCCATTGGGGCTTAGGAGCCTGGGTTCAACAGCACAGAACCACTGGGAATGAATCTCTGGAATGAATGGATCTCCCTACAGTAGAAATCTACTCTTCTGCTCTCAACTAGTTAGGAACTCTCAGTCGTACCATCCTGGTGACATTCATTCTAATTTAATTTTATCAGGAAACTAATTTTAAAATTGAAAGTGATCCCATCTGTAGAATAAACAATATGATATCTTTTAAAACGTATGTAGCAGTTATACCAAGCACTACAGAAATATTGAATCTGATGATTTCTTTGTTGTCAGATATGTGATTTCACTTTAAATAACACATGAGGCTTCAAGATGATGCAAGATGTTAAAATTCTGAAGTTAAAAATACAGATACACGTCTTGGAGAGTAGAGTTGGCTTCACTTAGCTTGTCTCTGTAGCTGCATGCCTATGAACTATTGATTAAATAAACTGCTGTCTCAGACGTCTGGAGTCTGTCAGACACTTGACTAGGCATTGCACTCTCATTGCTGGTACTGTACAGGCCAACAATAGCAAAGCACTTTAAAGAGTACAGATTTAAATTCAAGTATTTCCCTCTGCAAATGCCTAATTAGGAGAGCTGAGTGAAAAATTATGTCTTGCTGATGGGACTATTGAGAAGTTGTGTTTCCTTTGCTTTTGCAAAAACCATGATTTCACCTCAAATTTGTCACTGTTTTCCACAAACAAATGGTTGTTTTTGCAGGTGTAAAACTGCTATTTTAAACAGGCACATCTATTTCTGCTGCAAACACTCCCTGGAAACCATAAAACACCATCCAGCATGACAGCACGATAGCCTAGCACTCATGGGAGCCGGGTCTCAGGTTTTAGTTAGTACATGATTGCAATAAGAGGGCATCATGTTCCCAGCTAGCGAGCCCTCACTGGGAAGGCAGCATTTGGCCATCTCTGGTTAAATTGTATTTCCCTGTCGCAGTTTATGAAAACACTTCTTTGCTTCCCTTTCTCATCCTGTGCCTTGATACACTGGCCAAAGGAAAATGTTCTTCGCAGAGCTGAATGCCCCTCTTGCTATCATAAAATGTAGACTTGTGTTAAACTCTCCCTGCAAGAACAGGTGAGGAAAAGGCTAATCATTTGCAGAATGTGATTACTGTGAACTTAACCAAGTGTTATTCTAATATCAGAGTGGGTGCAAGTAGAAGCAAATGTTATGGCTGTGTGGATTTATGATGGGCTAAGAAAAAATAACTTAACACGTTTGAAAAATATATGTGTTCCTGGGGCTTCTGGCAAATTGCCAGTGCAATGCTTGGGCATTTTGGAGTAGTGTACAGTAAGCATAAAATAGTAATATACATTAGTATCAAACTACATATTCATTAAGAAAACAGAGAACATAGACAGACTTATACTTAGATTTGAAACTTTGTTTACAAGATCTGTCTAATGACTATAGTGATGGGATACATAGATAAGATTCCATAGCATTAGATGAGATAGATAGATAGATAGTAATGGAATTTGGGAACTTGCAGCTTTTAGTGAACATTCAAACTCTGTCTTAAGTTAGTAGAGACCAAATTTATTACCCTCAGATGGTTGTTTAGTGGCCTGTGTGGCATCTAGGTGCCATCATGCTTGGTCTTATTAGGGAAGGAGTAAGTAATGAGTTGGTGCTCTTCTCAAGCTGTCTTACAATGGCTCAACAGCATGAGTACCAACTTCAGGGCAGACTGTTAAGAAGCAGGGTATCAGCCCCATATTGGTTGTGAGTTCTATACTTAGATTTTGCCAACACATTATCAAGTGTGAACTCATCAGGCACTATATTAGCTTGAAAATGGAGTCACAGATAGTCCCCTTGGGTACTCTGATCTATCTTGCCACCCAGATAAGCTTATCTTTGTGATAGACAGTCACTTATACCAAAGATCACAGAAATATTCTGGTTACTCCCAGTCCCAAAGGACCAGTCACTTACCCCGGGTCAATTGCACCTTAGATCTCACACCAAAGACAACACTGGTAGCCAATCCTATAATAAACTATCTAAAGATTTATTAACTAGGAAAAAAATAAAAGAGTTATTTACAAAGTTAAAGCAGGTAAACACATACACACACCAAAGAATTCCTGTCTTAAGTTTCAGAGGGCAATAGAAGCTTCTATGTCCTTTAGGGCTAACCCAGGCAAAGCACTGGGGATCTTTTGTATATACTTAGTAATCCTTGCCACTCAGAATCTAAGCAGCATAAAAAATACCATTTTTCCTCCTTAGGTCTTTTTATCCCTTCCCCACTTCTCTTTGAGTTGCAAATTCAGCCACTGGGAGGAATTCAGTTGTATGTCTCCTCTTCCTAGCAGGTGGGGGAGCGATCAATAAAGTCTTTTGTCCTCTGATGTTCCTCAATGGTTTGTCTGGTGTCTATGGGCCTTCTTTTGTTGGGCAACTGTTGTGCTGCTTCCTCCCTCCCCAGGCTGCAGGAACACGGAGCATGCTCCTGTTGGGAGCCACTGCCTCCTTGTGTGTGTTTAATGTACCCCTCCAAAAGCGGTCAAATTAAAATTCCTGCTCACGCCCCTGCAGAGCAAACATTTGAATGTTACCTTATAAGATGGGATACAGATGGTATAAGTGAGATTATGGAATGCTTGTAAATTGCTGCCTGTGTTAAAGTCTGAACACTAAGTACATTTTTATAACTCTAATACATATTTAACAGTACTCACACACAGGTGAGCCAGACTGGTTCCAGCTATGTATTTGTCAGTGTTCTGCTGAGACCTAGGGGCCTTGGCATGAGCTGGCACCTGGTCTGCCAGCGTCACATGACTCATTCCAGTTTCTACTGGATTGGCATCCACATCACAAAAACTTCATTCTGATTGGCTTTCTTATGAGTATTTGTGAATTACCTGTTTCTGGTTGGGACAGAAATAGCCTAAAATCCGAATTGGCCCTGTCAACACTGGTCCTCCACTTGTGAGGTAACTCCCTTCTCTTCATGTGTCATCATATAATGCCTGCATCTGTAATTTTCACTCCATGCATCTGAAGAAGTGAGGTTTTTACCCATGAAAGCTTATGCACAGATAAATCTGTTAGTCTTTAAGGTGCCACCGGACTCCTTGTTGTTTTTGTGGATACAGACTAACACGGCTACCCCGTGGTATTTAAAATCCTTTCTTATCCTTGCAATTCTTTTTCTGGTATTGGCTGGAGTCAGTAAATTAAGAGGGACACCAAGATGGGGTGGGAAAGCAAGTTAACCAAAGATTGCTTCTGTTCAAGGAACAGGTAAAGGTCCAGGTTGCTTCTTCTTAACCTAAACACCTCACCCATTTTTGAATTGTAGTGTTGTGCATGACCTATACCATCTAAACAAGATTGCTCAGTCTTCTAACAGGAGCAAGAGAACTAGTCCTACACTTGCTTTTGTTATCTATAAGGCACCTACCACCATAGTGTCTGAGCAATGAGTGTAGTCCAAGAGACAATGCTCTGAAGAAAATGTGTGTGCTTTAGGAATTATTTTGGAAGCGGGGTAAGGAGACAGGCCCAGATTTTTAAAGCTGTTTAGGTGTCATTGCACTCAGTGTTGCAATGCCTAACTGATTTAGAAGCCCAAGTCTCATTTTCAAAAGAGATTTAGTCACTTAGAAGTCTAAATGCCATTGTCTGTTGATGGAATTTAGATTCTTAAGTGCCTAAATCCCTTTTGAAAATGAGATTTAGACTTCTAAATCAGTTAGGCATTGCGACACTGAGCACAGCAACGTCTGAACAGGTGTAAAAATCTAGCCCTTATGATTTATAATATGACAAGCTGACAATTGAAAAGAGAGGCTTGCATTCTTGTGTATTATTACTAGAGTAGTTTATTGCAAGTGCTTTAGGCTAGGCCCCTGATATAAATACCACCATGAATTCATCAAGTAATTCATAGGTAATTTCAGGACTATAGAAAAAATGTCTGCAGATGTTATTGCTGACATATAAGCTGGGTGGACCACAGACAGAGCAGCTCAGCTAAACTCGGAGGACACTTCCTACATCTGAGAGTGTATTGCATTTGTAATTACAGTGAAAATAATTGGGTACAAGTGAGAAGATAATGAAAGCTCAGCATAAGACAGTTTTATTGTAAGTAGTAAAGCAAAAACCCACTCCAGTGCTGACTATTCTTATTGTCAATAACAACACAGGAAAAAAGGCTCCTCTGACTTTATTTTCATTTTCTAAGATTTCTAAACATCAGCAGTGACATGCATGTCTATATTACAGGAGCAAGTCTTCATGATCGACTCCAAGTGTGAATCGGGGAAGGGGCGCTGCTCTTTCAACCCTAATGTGAACACAGTATCTGTTATGATCAGTAAGTAAAATAACCAAAGATCCTGGAGGCTTAAATCATTATTACTGAGCCGAGTGTGAAATGATGGAGTGTCATAAACAAATGGAGCACAGGGCACAGCCCGTGAAAAGGAAACCATTGTGTTCATACTGCTTGTCAGACGTCTTTTGAAGGTCTGCATGGAGCTAAGCATGGATGTGTGAAGGAAATGCAGAAGGAAGCAGCAACGAGGGAGGGAGGAATAGAGAGCAAGAGATTGTCCCCTTTTCATCTTTCACATTTTCCCAGGGTTAGCTACAACTTTTAAACATCTTAACCATTTTTTTTTATGTTTAAACACTTTTTGACTTCATTCATCATGGCCAGTTCTTGTGTCTCATTGCCATGTAGTTAGGGAAGCAAAACCTGCTGGAGTCTTTCGAGTTATTCTGCATTTCATATTTGTTGTCTCTGCTATTGAGGCCACCAACTACTGCCAGGCTCTTTGCTCTGCAGCAGGCGTTTTTACCTACCCCTCTTTCATCCCCACTGTATCACTGACTATAAATTTAGCAACTCACTTCCAAATGAAAGGGCAGAGAGTGTGACAGCTGGTTCCCTTGACATCTCACTGTAGGTTGTCTGGCAGAGTGTTCAGTGAGAGTGAAACCTTGGCACACAGGGCAAGCACAATTCCTGTGCCCCACTTCAGTGCCACCTAAGCTTTTTGTTGAGATTTAAGTGGGGTATAGGCCTGGGGTAGCCCTTTGCACCGGGGTGAATTTCACCTTGAAAGAGAACAAAAGGACAGCTCACAAATTCCACCTGGAGAAAACAACATATCCTCATTTCAACGTGCCTGATCTCCAATGGTCTGTGGGCTGGAAAAAAAGCCAGCATATTAAGGGCCAGATTTTTCCCTTTGCTTTGCACCTGTGCCAGTGCAAAGTGGGTGTAAAACACTACAGGCCTAATTCTGGTTTACACTAAGACCATTTTACACTCTGGTGGCATTATAAAGAGCCTTCAAGTGGATGCAAATGTGTATGGCCTTAATGCAAAAGGAGAATCCGGCCCTATCGCTTTGATTTAGCAGCGTTTTATCCTCACTTGCACTGGCTTTGCATTAGTGAAAAAGATCACAGCAGGCACAGGGAAAGGGGTCATCAGACCCTCAGATCTCCCAGATTGCAGCAAGATATGCTATAGCCTTAACTCTGGGTTAGTCAGTCCATAATGAACTCCTCACTGGCTTTCACAGCAAGGAATGAAAAGAATTTACTTTGGATGGCAGGGCTTAGGTGATTAATTTAAACGTTGCCCTGAATTCATTAAGCATGCTCAATCGATGGTTTTGTTTGCCCTCTCCTTAGTCACCGTCTGCAGTACATTCTTAGGACTATGCTAGCAGCCGGGCTGGAGCAGCAGCTGCCTGCACAGACAATGCTACAACCACTTGAGCCCCATGTGCTCTTGAATGTGCAATGTAGACATACATTTTGCCATTTAGATTTGCAGCGTGTTCAGAGACTACTGATACCAAAGCCTTGCATTTTGAATCTGTATCTAATCCCTGATCTCTGAGGGCCCATCTGTGCTGCCCCGCAGTTTTGATTGCAGGGGTGTGAATAACAACACACACCAAAGTGCTATGCTGTAACTCCCCTGTGTGGAGCTATGGGTGTGAACTAATAGGTTCCTAGTTGGTATTAATGTCGGACTACATAAATGTGAACTGGGAGTCTTTGAGTTGGTGCCTGCAGAATCCACACGGGGGAGTTCCAGGACAGCACTTTGGTGTGCACAGCTATTCACACCTAGGATAGACATAACCTAAATTAGCAACCCAAACATAGTATGTTTTTAGCCAAGGGAAAGAGCAGGAGTTGCACAGATTTCTCAAACTTACTTAGGATTTTGTTAAACAAAGAGAAGAATTCTGTTGACCTCTGTGTACAGTATGTTGAGTTTCATAGCAACTGCACACAATATAGCAAGACATTTAGCCCTGGGTTTTCACGGTACTACCGTGTGGTGTCTTAGCCATTCAGCTCCCATTGGAGTCAATGAGAGGTACACAGTGGAAGTGCCGGGCATTCAACTGAAAGAGTAGGGCTCCAGGGACAGGTCCTTTGTCCTCTCCTCAAAACTCTATCAAAGACAAGGAACTGAACAGAATCATCTCAGCATCTTACCTTCAAAAATATAAAGTTCCAAGGCCGCCTGGCATGGTAGGGAGCAGAGATGCGAGCAGAAGGGGATTCCAATCTGCATGGAAGAAGGGAAAGTGTCACTTCTCTAGCATGATTCTCTACCTCTTTAAATGACTGGCTGCATTTCGAGCTTACCTCATCAATGATCTTTGTGCAGCATGTAAAGGAATTTGATCAAAGTCAGTTATAGCCTAGTCCACACATAAACGCCAATTATGCTTTTCACATTCTTAAATGAGTTACTGCCATCAAAGAATAGAGACTTTCTTTTTTCATCCTGGGGTTTATGAATGCCCATTAAAGTCTTCTTTTCTACGATGCTGTACACACAGTAAGACAAAGGCTTGTCTCCTTTGGACACATGGGAGTTTTCTTCATTTTAGTAGAAGTTACTTTATCTGCTTTAATCTCCCAGTTATGTGACTGAGCAGGCCCGATATCTAGTTAATCTCCAAAGCACTATTTCTCTCTATCCAGTTTATTGCACCCAATGCAGCATGTCTGATTACCTGCCCTATGGGCAGGTGGCATATGTGTGCATTGGGTGCAAGGAGCTCCTTGCCCTCAGAGACTGTGTACAGAGACCGTGAATTATTTGGGTTACACAATGTACAGTGCTCACACTTTAAAAAGTTTCTTCTTTTTTAAAAGATTCAACCAATTGGAGAACTGTACTACTACTAAGGGAGGAGTAGAGAGCTTGTATAACTAGGAAGCCAAAGACAGAGCTGGGAATTGAACCCAGAACTCCTGAGGCCTAGATAAGTGCCTTAATCACAAGACCTTCTTTCCTCCCTCCTCTTCAACCGATGAATGCCACTGGAACTAGTAAAGTATAATGACATAATCGTTTTATAGTGTGGTCCCTGTTTCGTGTCCATTTCTGGCATCGCCTTCCACCTATGCAACACAGAACACAAGCTTGAAATACAACAGGAAAAGTGAATGGCCCCATAGAGGAAAACACCACATGACAAACAAATTAGAAGGTAGGAGAAATTCACCATTCTACAAAAATGCTTTAGAAGCAAAGCTATGAAAAATGTATCTTTGGGCAGGCAAGGAATAATTAACATGCACACCCCCTTTCCGCAACCAATGCTCCGAGGTATTTACAAGAGCAGACCTACATCAGTTCAACAATTCCCCCAGTAACAAAGAGAAACAGTGTGAATTGGTTACCCTGCAAAGACAAACTGTTGTGCGGAATTTAAGCATTAAACCAAAAGGAAGTGGAGCTGACAGATATCATTTGATACCTGATTAGACTAGTAGGCTCTAGGAATGCTTAAGACATAACTAATAAAGCTGGTATGCAATAGGATTAAGAATTCCATAGCCCCATTCCAGCCTTTCTATTTTTTTCCAGGAATGAACGTGAGAGCTCTGTGAGAGCCATAGGCATGATCCATTGCAGGCAATCTATTTAACAAGAGGAATAAGACACCAGATGGTTCTGGGGGAAATCACATTGATGTAGAGATTCATAATAAGTCGCTATTGATCTAACAGCACTACATATAGATATAAATAGAGGAACAAACCACATTGTGTAAACTCCTCTCTACTCTCCTTGTTGTTACCCCTGCGCAATGGATTCCCTCATACATTGAACCTCAGCTAAAGGAAAGACATGTAGGCGACACAATGCCTGCACTACCTACTGTCTAATCAGTAGGGATCTGGTTCATGACCTAGCAAGCAATGAAAAAAAAAAACCTCCGGAGTTTTCATCTCTCAAAGGTGAATGGGTATTTCTTATTGTTGAACAAACAAAAAATTAAAAGAAGCCTCAATTGCTTCAATATTTGTGGCTCTTGCCAGCTTGACCACACACACTCACGGCAGCCCAGTCATTTGGGTGAAAACATTGAAGAACCTAGCTGTCTGGGAGTTCGTTCAGCCGCTGCTCCCAGCATGGAAGTTAAAAATTATTTTAGCTATTGTGTTGTACTCTGGGGTTGCCTTGCCATTAGCCAGTGGAAATATATATATATATAGATCTAGATATATATATATATACACTGACATATAGGCAGAATTTTCAGAGTCCTGCGCAGGGAATTTAGATACCTAATCCTATTAAAGTAAACTAGAGTTGCATGTCTAATTTCCTTCACACTACATTGAAATTTACTCTGACTCTAGTATATAATACGGGTATTTGTTGCTTCACTTTAAACTGAGCCAGGTTCATAGCATCCTCATCCAGTTTCTGCAATACAGAATCGTGCTTGAGTCCGAAGTCAGCCTTGTAAACAGTAGCAACTCCGTTGACTTCAATTGGAGCTATGCCAATTTCCACTTGCAAATACTGGCCCAGTATTTTTGGCTACTTCCATAACACAGAAGCTTTTTCAAGTACTTTTTAAAAAATTGAATTTGATTCCTTTTTATACTATTACCTTGTCTGTGCATTGATGTTTAGCAATGTAAGTTCAGTCACTAAGCTGTATTTCAAATGAAAGGTTCACTACACATGTGGTTAGCTGCTATATTTAATCATGCAGTTCCCTAAAGTTCTTAGCAACATCTGATGCTTCCTCCTTAGGCTAGATGATTGCTCCATGATTGAGAGGAAACTCCACTCCCACCGGACTGATATTTCTATGTAGTGACTGCTATGCAAATAAAGAACTGGCCCTGTCTGAAACAAAAACAGGTCACTAGAAATGGATTTCCCAAAAAGCCAAGATAGACACATTCATGTTTTTTTTCCCCTTTTCCTTTTCTACCTTTCTATAGATGAAGAGCTGTTTTCAGGAATGTACATAGATTTCATGGGGACCGATGCAGCAATTTTTCGCAGTTTAACCAAACGGAATGCAGTGAGAACTGACCAACACAATTCTAAGTGGCTGAGTGGTAAGACGATTGCTTCATTAAAGCTTTTGATATGTGACTAAGAGAAAGGTTGTTTTCAACAAAGAGTTCTTTATTTCCCATTCTAAAATGAATCTACTAAGGGAAAATGTGGGCAAGAAATAGGAATAAAAACATGCCACAGACAATGCACTCTGTATGATTAATAGGAATTCTACACGACATGGGAATTGCCATACTGGAGGAGACCCCTGGTTCATCTACTCCAGTACGCTGTGCCTGAAGTGGCTAAAACTAGCTACTGCAGAGGAAAGGACCTGTTATAGACAGATGTGGGATAATCTGCCTCCCAGGGAAGTTTCTTCTTAACCCCTAATTATTTGAGATTGTCTGACATAGGAAAATTTGATTCTAATTATTTACATTTAATTTTCAACTGTAGTAAATTTAAATAACTGATTAACTATGTGATTGCCATAAAATGGCACAATGAGGAAAAGTCACCTCTGTGCAATGGTGAGGTACAAGGGGTGAAATCCTGGCTTCATTGAAATCAATGGGAAAACTCCCACTGACTTCAGTGGGGCCAGGATCCCACCCATGTCTTATACACTATGCTTTATTTTATTCTTAAAACAGCTACACTTTATGCCCATGCTTAATTTTAAGCAAATAAATAGTCCCATTGATTTCACTGTGTTAAAGTTAATCATATGCAATAGGTTTTGTGCTGGCCCTCTGCAAAGTGGTGGATTTCACCCAATAGGAATGGGCCAAATTTATCATTCTGATTTGAAGATTTGCATTTATTGCTGCCAAGCCTGCTTAGGTACATTAATGGAAACCAATCTGGTCTTTCTACCTCATGCAATTTTACAGGGCAAATCCTAACAAATCTATTCTTTTTATTCATAATTAATGTAATAGCACGTGTTATAATACTAACTTGCACTTTTTGTAACAGAATAAATGAAATATGTCAAAAGAGGGAAACTCTATCTGTTTTCTAAAATTTGCCTTTAGTTGTCTTCATTCTCTTAAGCTTGCCTACTCTCCTCAAAGTATCTTAGAAAATGGACTGCACAGAAAATGCTTCATTGCTAGAAAACCTACATAATGCAGTTGCTTGGAAAAGGTGACTGACACACACAATGTATTTCCATGTTCCTCCTGAGCTAGCATCATGAAATGTGACATATTTATTGATAATGGGTTGAAGAGTACAGAAGATATCCAAAATTGAAAATGTGACTTTTCCATCAGAGGTCACCAAAAAGTCAAAAGTGGTTTGCATTGGATATCAACCAATCAAATGGCATGAATAATAGGAAGTAAGTGACCTCCAGACTGGAGAATAAAGGTCATTTGAGGTCTCCAATGCTATTCATTAGATTTTAGCCAAGAAAATTGCCAAAGGAAAGCAAGTGTACCACAGGCTGCAACACTGATAGCTGTGACTACCTAAAAGTAGTCTGCAGTGATATTATGATACACAAACAATTTGACACTAGCTCGCTGCAGTCCTCTATCTCTGTGCTCATTCAGACTGTAGGACATATTTATTTCAATATGTTCACCATATTCTAATATGAATACCTTTGAGGGAACTTCACTCCTCAAGCATTCTCACATCCTCAAAGTCTCCCTTGCTTTGGTTTTCAGTAGCCTTACCACAACCTTTACCCTCTGATTGAATAGGTTTGACAAGTAATTTGTTCATTTTCTCCCTAACAGTTTTTCAGATCATTGTTTCTCTTCTCAAATTTTTTTCCTCAAAGAGTCTTCTCTAGCTTGCTCACTGATTCTTCTCCTGCAAGGCTTTCAATCTCTGTAGTAAACTAGCACTGCTGTTTCTGCTTCAGACTTGCTTTTTTGAAAACTGGGACAAATCTGCTCTGGTATTAACTTGAGTCCTGAAAACACTGACACTAGTGCTTAACTTGACACGTGAGTAGGGCCAAGCCCTAGCACATTGGACAGCAGCAGGAGATGCATTCTGTGGAGGTACCTGGAGAGATCAGTAGCTGTCAAGAGTTGCTTATATTGACACATTGTTTGCTCTGTATCTGTCTCTTTTCAGAGCCTATTTTTGTGGATGCTCATCTCATCCCAGACGGCACAGACCCTAATGATGCCAAAGTGTACTTCTTCTTCAAAGAGAGGCTTACAGACAACAGTGGCAGCACCAAACAGATTCATTCAATGATTGCTAGAATATGCCCAGTAAGAATCATTTTTTGTTCAATTTTCAGGGACTGATTTGCTGGCTTGATTGAATAATCAAAATGAATCCATTGCATTAAAACTATTTAAAAGCCTTTAATTCCAATTACAAGCAAATTTCCTGTTCCTGCTTCCATCTCCATAATTAAGAAGAAAGGCTGTTGAGTACACAGCCAAGCCCTGACCTGGTTAGATATATCTGGAATATATCTGTAATTTTAGTAGGAATATTAGTGCTTGATGAATCTGTGCACCTTGGTGTCTGGTGCAATGTAGTTAATAACATTGACTTCCTGAGCTTTCTTTTCTTTCCATAATTCAAATGTGAGCTTTACTGAATCACAGACGTACCAAATCTCCCACAAGAAATTCAATGTAAAGGCATTTGAGAACATTGTTTTTATTCTTAAAACAATTACACTTTATGCACTTGTTTAATTTAAGCACATGAATAGTCCCATTGATTTCAGTGGATCAAAGTTAAGCATGTGCATATGTCCATGCAGAATCAGGGCCTTAGTTATTGCCTGTATTTCCCTTTTTCTGTAACCAGAGTCAATTTTGCTTGCAATGTGATTGAAGCAGCTATCTCTTTCTCTGAGGTTATGGATGCAAGTAAAATTAAAACTGTAAAATGCTCTATTTTTCTGATAAGCTCTTTATCCATTACCTAGGGACAAAACTGGAGATCAAGTTTGAAGGTCTCCCCTCTCCCACTCCCGGTTAATATGGGTTTTGTATTCATTGAGGTTTGTGATGTGGCTGTGCAGGGGAATGGTTGTGCGTTTTGGTTTTTGCTCCGTTCCTGTTCTGGCAGTTCAATATGACATATGACCTAGTCTTATAATATTGCTATTTTTTTGTATTTTTGGTTAGGTGCCCAATGGCCTCTGGGTATTTTTCAATAAGACATTAAACATTATTAGGATGTTATTGTTGTTGTTATTGTTATAATAAAGTCCAGATTGCTTCTAAAATCTGGATCTGATTGTGCTTATATTGAAGTCAATGGCAAACTCCTATAGATTCCAAAGGGAACAAGAGCTGATCCTTCATGTTGATAGTAATCTACTGTAACAACCGCAGTAAGGAGTGAACATTGCTACAAGCCTCCTGGTGTCGGCCTGACTTGCCATTAGCTCTGCTAACTTTAGGTCAGTTAAGGAGACCTATTCTAATAGCATTTTTGGTAGCACGAAAGTTAATGCCCAAGCCTCTTCAGCCTGCTGGTCCAGCTGCAAACAAAGTATGGACAGGCGGCTGAAAAGGCTTTATTCCAGTTTAAAATGAGAGGTCACTTTCCCCCTTCATAGCTGGGCAAAACTCCTCTTACACATGCACATGAAAGGCAGAATAAAACTAGAGCTAGTCAAAAATTTAACATCGTTTTGATGAGTTTTCACAAAACATATTCCCATTTTTGGCATGGTTTAAATAGAACAAAATTGGTTATTTAGGTCTTATGAATTGAGCCTTCCAGGTCACTTGCCCTCAGATAACAAATACCTGAATAGTACATTAATGAGATTTTGTCCGAATCTGGCATCATAAAGTTTTACCAGTTATTTCATCTTATGTGCACATTTCTATTAATGCCGCTATTAAAGCAGCACTTTAATCTTAGTTCTGTTAACTAAAATAGTCCATCTTTAGAGGCCCTGTCAATGAGAAAGGTCAGGGGGACAGAGACTAAGGGGTGAACTTTGCTGTAAACATTTTTTTCGGATTCCACCTAAAATTTTCCTAAGATATTTCACTGTGATCCTAACTCTATACAACAAACACATTTTTAAATGATTTTTATAGAAAAATGATTAAAAGCCTGATTTTCAAAGGCTAGACATGCAAAAGTGTCATGCTTGTGCACCCACTTTAGGCTTGCAAATACCAATTGTGCTTACCAGTAATAGACACAAATGTGCAAAATTGAAGGCATTTAAACTGTTGAAATCTAGTCTCTTAATGGTAGTATAAATGTTACTTGTTAGTGTTTTGTGATGTTTATTTAAGTTCTAAATAGTGCCACTTACAATATGATTTAAATAATTAGTTAGCATTTTTCACCATGGCAAGCGCTGGATTAAATATGTGTTTTCATACTTTATTGGTACTTTTGCCTACGTTTCTTATAATCACAGCTAGCATTAAACACATTGTTTACTGTCCGGTTGGCTGACAAACAGGAGTCTCCAGGTAACTGTTGCACGTCCTCAGAAAAGTTGTAAGATCTGCTCTATCTGTTATGTCCACTGGAGGATGAGAGAGGAAATCTGAATGAATCTGATTGGAGTGGCATTTGGTGCTTTGTTGACAAGATTCTCATGGACAAACATAAGTAATATAGGAATTACCATAATGGATAAGACCCAGAGTCCATCTAGTCCTGTGTCTTGTTTCTGACTGGAGTCCATGCCAGATGCTTCAGAAGAAGGTTAAAAAAACTTTGCGTTAGGCAGATATGAGATCATCTACCCTCTACATCAGTGGTTCTCAAAGCCAGTTCGC